TCTTATAAATTATAATGATCCACAAAATGGAATGACTGCATTGTTGTAAAGACACAGATTATAAATAAACAAATAAATTCATAAATCTATATTTAGAACGACTGTTATCCAAAATAATAAAAGCATATGATAAAATGTCTATATTGAAACTCGATGTTCATTCTGATATTATTGATTTTTCTGATTGTAAAGCACTTATACATGCTGCTGAGAAATGTTAAAGTGTAGTAGTAGAAATTGGAACACTCACACTTCGGTTCGTGCTCTAATTCACTCAAAGATATTGCAGATAGACGAGAAATGTTTGTTCACAGAGCTGACAGAAAAGTTCGAAGCATATGATCACGAAAAAGTTAAACATTCTGAATATCAGTACGGCGCAGATATGCACCACATCTGACATGATGCTTGTTATTGGTAATCGGAAAGTCAGTTATTATTAGATTTTCATTCAATCATTGTTTAGATGCTGAGAGAACTATGTTGATCGTGCTAGTTGTTTTATTCTAAATAAGCAAGAAACGTATGTTATTTCATCGAAGCTTGCCACAGATGTTGATAAGCTAGCAACGTTCATTTATTGAATACTTTGTTTTCCTACTGCCTGATTTTATTGCATTAGAATTCAGTAGAACAAGAGATACTTAACATATATATATATACATCCCAAAATAGATAGCATTAGACTATGTCGTGTTTGAAACGTTAATTTCATAGAGATGACGCTACAATATTATATTTTAGATGCAGTTTACTATTCTTTTATTGAAGCAACTGATCGTCATAAAACGTGCTTTAAAAGGTTTGCGAAAGCAAATCCAAATGCGACGAATATTAGAAAGTCAACACTGGCACATAAAGCAGCTAATGATGAAAATTCTTCAATATTCTTGTTATGTTCGATTCTTCCTAAGTGATTCAATTCTATCAAGTTACGGTACAAGATATGATGTATATGATACACTTGATAACAATCCTATTCATTATGCTGCTATGAATAATACTGATACTACTGTTCGATTTTTGTGTGATTAGCTCATGGGATTCCGATATGATATCAATATTCAGATGACATTCTCGATTGGAAATTAATATTGTGTGATTATGTTTATATATTACAGAAAAGTTCTGGAAAGTGCAAGTTTCTTTCATTGCCTGAACCATTCAATATCAAAGGTTTATCTATACTAAAAATATGACAAAAAAAGTTGAGAAGACATCAATTATAAATCCTTTCCAATGGGAACAAAGTATTTATCTTAAGTCAATATTTCTCACTCTATTTGTAGCAAGTAATATTATTTAGTTGTTATTTAAGATGAGAGAGACTATGTTTCTGTTGAAAATGACAATTCATAAAAAACAATATTTTATGCAATCCAACATATTTATGATATTGTTAATATGGATTTTTCCTATAATTATATATTTGTATATATCGTTTTTGAAGATGATTCATCATGGTGTTTAGATGAAACTTACATCAATTTATCTAATGCTAATAATGAAACACTTTCATTTTATTTTAGTACTATTTCTTTGCAGTTGTTTTCTAATAACTTTATCACGGTGATTCATAAAACAGTATTGGATGGATTGATAAACAAATTTGCTATTAAAGATAATACAGAAATAGATGACAACATCATTCATAATAAGTAAGTCCATAGAAATAAATCATGTTGCTGTTCTTAATAAAAATCGTTGATCTATTATAGTGTTTTATCTTCATGATAACTTGAATATTACTCAATATTTACTAACATAAGCATAATCGAAAGGATGATATATGAAACTCTTACTTCGATTTTATCTTTATCAAAATTCATGTGGATGAAACAGAAACTTATAAGTAGACTTGAAATCTTGACGTTATTCAAAAATGATATTGCTGACGTTATATAAAATTTTTGTGGAAGCCATTGATGTATCAGTAATAAGAGGCAGAGGTGTGCCCCGCACCTAAAAATCGACCCGCGAGCGGCGAAGAACATGACGTAAATTTTCAAATAGTGGCGGTGGTGACCACCACTCCGAAAGTGCTTTCGCTAAGCGGGACTGTCGCCCCATGCCTCGACCAAGGAGCCATGCAGTGCCGCCGCACGGAGCTAATTGGAGTTGCATTTACTGATTTCTTCGCCGGTTTATTGCAGCAGTTCTTTTTCTTGTGATCAATACTGCTTAATTTATTAATGTCTACCTATGAATATTAATAGGACTATAACATCAAAAGAACTACAAAAATACATTTATTTAACAGAATCTAACTGTATATGCGCACTAATATGGAATATTTCTCGTTTTAATTATTTCTGGATCTTAATTTAGGCAAAACAAAGTTAAAAGCAGATTTAAATCGTAAAGTTGTTCCAATGTAATTCAATAAATCTTGAGACAGACCGATGTGATAGAACGACTTTTTGAAAAATAACGCAACAACAGTATAGAAGATGATAGCTTTCACAAAATACTGGTGACAGTGGTAGGGAACTGCAAAGTGGTCCCGGTCCCGCCGGGACCGGGACCAAAATTTGACTTTTTTACGGGACCGGGACCGGGACTAAAAATTTTTCACATTGGTCCCGGTCAGTTTTATGCAATATATTTTCACGTTTATTATTTTGACATGATTTAAGATTTGTAAATCAGATATTTTTATTTGCTATTTCTATAAAAGTCTTTACTGATTACGAGTCTGTTTTCAAGAATCTGAGTTTTCCAATTGCACAGGTTCTTGAATACATATAAAACAACCAACACAACACTATATGCGTAAGTTTAATTTGTTCATTTTCTGATGATTCCTTTATTGAAGTCTTATCAGATAATAGTAAATAGATATGTATCGTTGTTTATTTTTTTTTTTGACAATCGTAATGGCTACTCAGTATAAATAATCAATTCGACAATAGATCCATTAGGTGGAGCAGTAGATATAAAAGAAGAGAGAAATAAGTAAATGACTGCTACGAAGTATATGAGAATTTTTAACAAAATTCAATGGTTATTTTTATTTATTCGAGCTTTCAGTGAAATTCTTTCACTTTAACACTGGATATAAAAGAATTTTCGTACTGTTAACGAATCAAAATTATTCATGCCAATTTTATGTATTTATAAAAGTATACAGATCGTAAAAAAAAGTTGCTCGATTTTAGAAATGAAACCATTGTCAAAGACCGGGACCGGGACCGGGACTGGAAAAAAATTTGACCGGGACCGGGACCGGGACTAAAAAAAAATATTTGACCGGGACCGGGACCGGGACTAAAAAAAGTGATTTTGCAGTTCCCTAAACAGTGGACATTACTATACATAATTTTATAGGATGAGGGTGGACACAGCATGAATGCCATAATGAAGAAAGAATCATCCTTAAACCATATTATATTTGTGGATTCACCCTACTTTGATCGAAAGTACAAATGTCGAAAATAAAAATATCGAAAACAAAAATAATAGAAATGTCGAAAGGTACAAATGTTATAAATGATAGTGTATGGGAGAAGAAGTTCTTTCACCCTCATTCTAACTCTCACATCCACATTAAGATCGCACATTTTCGTTTTCGACATTTTTATCTTTCGATATTTTTACCTTTCGACCAAAGTAGGGTTAACCTATTTGAGAGAAGAAATTATGAAATAAATTTTCCCTATCAACTTTCATATTCATTGTTTATTATAGAAAATAACATTTCGTTCCAGAAAAACCATACTAATACAATCATTAATACAAACAAAAAAAGCAAAAAAGGAAAACAGCAAAGAGAATGTGAGTGTTGTCCTAATTATTCCACTATCACGCAGGGTGTGGGTATGGGTGGGTGTGGCTGTGGCTGTGGATATGGGTATGCTGTATAAAGGTATACAATACTCACACACACACGCACACGCACACCCCACACCCACATCCCACACCCACACCTACATCTACACCCCCATCCACAGCCACACCACACACCCATCACAGGCGATCGGAAAGAATATTACAAGCCCTTTTCAACATGAGAAAAATCGAAAAGAAGGCGCTTGACTTCTTCACTGTTTGCAAAGTTTTATTAGTTTTTAAGGCGGACCCGAGACCACGGTAGCATTGGTATTTGAAAAAAAATGAAGCGAACGGAAGACTTAAATTATGTGGCCTTGTGCTTTTCCGCTTCGCTTTTACTATTCTTTCATAATGCACCCTCAGAAGAAATGGTAGTAGAATCAATTACTGACTGATGCTATTCGCTCAAACAAAAACACAAGAGGAAAAGAAAAAAGCGGATTGTGCACTTTTATGTTTTTCTTTCTTTCTCCGCTTCTCTCTGCGCACAAGTGTTAGTCTTCAGAAAGAATAAAGGCATGCAGAGTAATGAGATAGAAAAAAAGAAATAAACGATGTGAAATAGAGTGGCAAACAAATTCTTTCTGACAGTGTCGAAGATAGGCTATAAAAGCTGGTTTTGAAAACCGTAAAACTCGTTAGAGACGAATACACTACTCCTCATATGTCAGCTGAGTAGTCGTGGTAGCATTCACACTTTCAAGTTTGTGATTTCGCATGTTTTCTTAGTGGAGAGACTGAACTTACAAAATAGTATGTTGGTGACGGTCTAAATTCAGGTTAGTGAGTATGAGTCTTCTGTTAATAAATAACTACAACGACACTTACGCAGACATCCACATCTGTATATATATATATACTCATCTTTATTTCATCTGTTCATAGATTAAATAGCTATCAGCATGGCGAGTTTTACGTTTTTACCGATGTCAAATGATGTTTTTCTCGATACCCAATATGGTGATGAAGAATTCGTTGAAATACACTTAGACGAACGATTTTACGTCGGAGAGAATATGCAAATGCATAAGGTATGGAAAACGAAAGATAATCAAATGATAGTTCAAAAAGATTACAAAATATTTTATGATCCTGATCAATGTCTCAATTTTATTACATCGTACGAATGGCGAAAAATATTTCTCTCACTTACAGACAATTTCAGCTATATGTTACCTTTAATTCATGATCTACCACAAATAGTTTATATTTATATCTATTCTTCAGCGTCGGAGACTGTACCATATTCTACTAACGAATATCCAAAATTACGAGCCATTGTAAACGAAAACTCAGCAGATGCAGATGAACAGTTATTGAAGGATATCCAAATATATCGACAAGATTTGATGCCAGTGAATGTTATTAATCCTGTTCAACGAAAAACCAAACTTTTAATTCAAGAATCGTTACAAATAGAAACATATTCCGTTGTTTGGATAAAAGATACTAATAATAGTCAAACATTTGATGCATCATTAATAACCGATGTCATCGATTCTCTGAAAATATTCTTCAATATTGAGGAATGCGTTGATTATATCAAATCATTATCGAATGACACTCAGGTTTTTGTCGTTTCATCATGTTCGGATACTGAAACAATTTTAAAAGAGGTTTCGCCTCTATCGAATGTAATAGCTATTTATCTACTTGATATTCTTCAACAAATAAATCCAAAGGAGTCAATGACAAAAGTACATGGTATATATTTTGATATGCAAAGCTTGTCAAACCGATTATCTCAAGAATACAAACGCTGCAAATACGATTTACAGATGTCAGTTAGTGTTTTCTCTCGCGAAAATATTGAGAAGACAGTTCGGGATTTGAATAAAGAAAGTAGTCGATTTCTTTGGTTGCAATTGTTAGTTGATATTCTGATTCAAATACCATACAATGATCAGACTAAAGATGAAATGTTACATGAATGTAAAGTACATTACAAAGACGATAAAGTTGCACAGAAAAGTATAGAAGAATTCCATAAGACTTACAAATCTACTGAAGCCCTATCATTTTATACAAACGATTCATTTTTATATCGTCTATTCAATCGAGCACTTCGAACCGAAAATATTGATTTTCTATTTATATTTCGATTTTTTTTAGCGGATATGTACAATCAATTAAAAAAGCTGCATACAGACCAATTTTCTACTAATGCAAAATACACTGGGGAAACACTCATTCTCTACCGGGGACAAATGATGCGAGTTTCAGAGTTTAGTCATATCAAGGATAATGTTGGTGGTTTATTATCGGTGAATACATTTTTTTCTACAACTGAAGATTTCCAAGTCGCAATATTATATTCTGGCTTCGATGATAAAAATCGACCATCCGATTTCATATCAGTTATATTTGAAATTGAGATTGATTTAATCCATCCTGTAACTAAAAAACCATTTGCTTCAATAGAACATTTGAGTCGATTTCCTGAAGAACACGAAGTACTTTTTTCAGTCGGTTCGATTTTTCGTATTCTTAATGCTCAATACATGCAAATAAGTGAAGGTTATTGGCTTGTAAAAATAAAACTGGTCGACAATGATAGTGACATTAATGAGCTTCGAAATGAACTCGAAAATGAATATTGTCATAAGAGTAATTTGTGCCATTTGGGAAATGCGTTAATAGATATGGGTGATTATGCAAGAGCGGAACGGTATTTTCGTATGCTATTAGAGTATTTGCCTGAATCTCATTCATCGGTTGGTCTTATATACGGATCTTTGGGTTTGGTTTGTTCGAAAAGAGGAAATTATCAAGCGGCATTGGAATTTCATGAACGAGCATTGCAATGTTTTACAAGAATTAATATTTACGATGAACAAGCAAATATTTGTCAAACATATGCTCATATTGCAACTGTTTATCATGAACTTGGGAAGCCCGATCTAGCATTGAAATATTGTACAATGGCGACGAATACAAACTCGTCTCCAGATTCGCTTTCATATATATATAATCAAATGGCCCTAGTATATCGAGACAAAGGTGACTATATTTTAGCACTGGACTACTTTAAAAAAACACTCAATATTGAAAAAGAAATCTTGAAAAAAACAAAGTATAATCCATTATTAGCGACTATGTATAATAATATCGGCGAAATCTATATACATTTGGGAGATGATGAAAATGCTTTTAAACATTTACAATATGCATTGAATATTCGACTTAAAGGAACAGTCTCCACACATACAGATCTTGCTGCTATTTATAATAATTTGGGACTGATTTATGAAAGAAGAAATGAACTTAAACAAGCATTAGAAATGTTTGAAAAAGCACTGGAGATTGATACACAAACCTTCGAAGACGGTCATGAATCATTGGCACTATCACACCGCAATATTGCAACTGTCTATCAAAAACTTAACGATTTATTGAAAGCTTTATATCACGCAGAAACAGGTTTAAGAATATTGTTACGTTCACAAGGAAGAGACAATGCTTCACTTCTTGCTATACACCAATATAGTCTTGGATCTATTCAATTTTGTTTAGGCAACAACAAGAAGGCATTAAATATGGCAGAAAAAGCTTTAAAAAATCAACTAGCATATTTATCTGAAAACCACGAATATATTGCATATACATATCAGCTATTGTCAAATATACATGCACAACAAGAAGACCTTCCAAACGCTTTAATGTATTTAGAGAAATCAGTCGACACAGCTCGAATTTCGATATTACCCAAAGATAGACTCATGTTTCACCAGCTCGAATCAGAATTGGAACTATTGAAGAAAAATGGTTTGAAAAACGAGAAAAAATTTTCACAATCACTTTCATGCATTCAATGTGTTCCTGATCAAGCCGATTTACAAGATTTTTGGATTCGACACAATATTGAAAACCTTGAATTGATACCAAGAGATAATATTCCGGACCGTATTGATTCACTTAATGCTCTGATATCAGTTTATTCGAGACAAGAAAATTTTCAGATAGCACTGAAGTATTTCGATGAAGCCAACTTACTTTATACTCAACATCGATTATCTGATGTATTACTTCAACAAAAAATCGAAAAATCGATGCTACAAGTATTCTTTAGCGTAAGTCGAGTATATTATCGGCAAAAGAATTGGACAATGTCTTTGAAAATGTTAACCAAATCACTTGATTTTGTTTTAAAACAAGAACAAGAACATCCTTTATTAGCAGAAATTTATAATTGTATGGGATTGAGTTGTGCACATCAATTGGATGTATACATGGCGACACACTATTTTGAACTGGCTATTAATGTTGCTAAGAAAACATTGCCCAATGATCATCCAGACATTCAGCGTTATCACTATCAATTGCAACAATTAAAACCTTAATCGAAATAATAGAACATCAATAATAAATTGAATAAATCACTGGAAGAAAGAAAAAAAGTATAAACCTTAAATAATATCATCAGATACAGATTGTGTAATCTCATTTCGTCTTTTGAGATTTGAAAAACGAGAGGTGGGTGTGGGCGTGTAGGTGGTTGTGCGTGTGCGGGAGCGTGTAAAATCATACTCACACTTGCACCCACACCCATACTTCTCTAAAATTTTAAAGGCTTAAAAACGTTAGTGAAAGTCCAGAAATAACCAAGTAGATCCATTCAATACTCATTGTTTACTTCAAAAGAATATCTCAGGAGCGAGCTAAAAGGATGAAACTTTCCATGGAATATCATACCAACTACCTCAAATATATGGTGCCGAGAGATGGATGGAATGGCGTTTCCCTCAATAGATATAGCAAAGTGACAGAACTTTTTGATTACCCTTAGTAATTCATCTCAATAAGAAACATCACTTTTCTTTCATATTCAATAAATTGAATTAGAATTTCCACTTGAAATAGTAAACGGTATGTTTGCTTCAATTCAATAGAAAATTTTTTACGCGATCATCTACATAACTTTTTCTTTAGATACTTCTTTTTAAAATAAAAGTATTTTTCTTTTAAATAATGTCTATTATACGAGAAAATAAATGAATAATGACTCATGTTGAATTAACTAATTAAAAAAAAAGCTTTACTGATCACAAGCCTATTCCAGTTATTGATATCATCTGAAGAATATAGAAGACTAATTCTTATATCAAAATGACAATACGCATCTTATGTTGGAAATCCTAAGTCAATGCCAAGTGCACTTATGATTCATTACTACTCGAAATAAATTGCGCTTTACCTATTTTGTTTTCATAGAAATATTGCAATTATAAATGGCTCAAGGATAATTTGTGTTGTTTTGTCTCGTTAGATATCACAAATAAATGTGAATCGATATTCTTCAGAATCCAGATCAGTGATAATAATGTATTCAGTTACATTTTCGTGACCCAAACAAACATAATTAATAATCGATCAGAACATCTTATTCGTATGGAGTTCTTTAAAAATTAAAGAAGTGCAACCAATAACAAAAAAGTCAATGATAAAAATATGAAAGGAACATAGTGGACATGAGATCAATCCAACTTACCATCGTAATGTACGAGATAATATTCGATTGAATTCGAACAGTCGTTACTAATTTAAATCTCGATTAGGCTCAATAAACGAAAACATAGTTAATGCATCGAGAAGATAAGCTTTGAATGATGTAAAGCATGTTTAATTACACGAAATGAAAATGGTCTTATTAAAGAAACTGAACAAAAAACAATGATGCATCTAGAGTGTTGTCAATTTTGACTTTCACTAAACAAAACATTCGCTACTATTATCTTTCTTTTATCTGAATAATAATTGATTGAAAGTTATGATCTTGCCAAATAGTTGACTGTATTGTTCAATCAATATCAACACAAAAAAAACAATAATTCTACATTCATGAAAATACAGTTATTTCAGATGTAACTTATTCTTCTCTCTAATTCAAAAGAAGAATACTGCATTTTCTAATAAAGAGCTTATCATAAACAATTGGTTTTTAATTAAAGTCCTATTGTTTTGTATAACACCTAATTACAGCATGTTTAATATTATATCCTATAAAATTAGAACTGAAATAGTCCTAGAAATAAAAAATTGAATATAATCATATTTCTTTTCCAGTTGTTTATGACTCATTTAAAAATTCTTTCTTTATCATACAAGAAAAAAGTATTAAATTTTGGCCTTAACTATCTATTTGTGATAATAATATGTTCTAAACATTAACTTTTATCATCCCAATAAAGCTCGTTAGTTACTTTTTTTAATTTCTTTATAATAGAATAATGGAATTGGTCGCAGTCATTCAAATAAGGAACTGAATTGTTATATCGATAAATTGACATTGATCAACGAAGCATAGTAGTTACTTCGAACAAGTAGCATCAATTCAGTTCTGCAATGAAGATCGCTTGCAAGATCACAATTTTCTCTGATGAGGGTGTAAATGCAGGTATTCTCTTCCTTGATACCCATAATCACATCCTTCAGTGCAACATTCATTTCTTTTCGATCGTGTTAGTTTATTGACAGTAAGACGCAAACTGCACGATATGTTGTGTATACTGCTGAATGTGGATGAATATGCGCTACACTGTACATGTGCAAGGCGACTTTGGAATAAAGCTGAGATAGAAATAGCATTTTTTTTTTAATTTTCTAATCAGAAAGATTGTTATCAGATAAAATCCGAAACATTGTTATCCTCGTGAATATTTTCTTTGTTTTGTCCTCTACAATGAGTATAAACTTTTGCTATAGGTTTTTTTGGACTGGTGGAGACACTGAATGATTACTGATATTAAAAAAGAAACTTCTAGCATTTTTTGGACGATATTAATAATATTGTAGATTTTCTCATACGACACTAAAAATATTTTGAGAAAAGCTTAAAGTTTTTGTTTTATTTACGCAGTTTAATTTGACTTGATTTTCGGAACTCTTTTCTAAATTAATCACTTCAGCTAACTTGTAAAGCATTATTCTTATTATAGAGTTTTTCCTAAGTGAACTTTTTCTATTTTTGTGCATTGCAATGTCCACTGTGAGACATATGGATATAAATTGAAAGCATAAATAAAATATATGTGATACGAAAGAAAAAAAATTGCAGATGCAAATATTTTTTTTGATAGAGACGTGCATTTTTTAAACTAACCTACCTCAAATACGACTATGAGTTATCGATATGTACTTGATCTACTAGCACATATAATATACTACATTTTTATACAGATCCTATGAATTTATGATTTACACAAAAAATAAAAAAAAGAAGAAACCAAAGGGTATAACTTCGATTTTTGTAGGCCGTATGAATCCAACTATTGATTTAACTCGTTTGTTACATTGTTTTTTTTGCCTAGAGAAACACATTGTGAATAATGCATTTCATTAAAACGTCGTTTCTTTTTCGGTAAAAATACATATTTAAATGTACAACAAATAAACTCGTCAAATGTATAAAAGTAAACACATTCGAACGATCTTTGCAATAACATCTATTGGAGAGTACAAACAGGTTGACATAAACAAAGATGCATTTGAACGCAAAAAAACAATGTTTTTTTTCGTTCTGAAAGTAGGCATCGAAACACCGTTTTGCACACAGCTTTTTTTTCCATGGACATATGATCGACTTGCACGGTTGATTATTCACTGATGTTGATAAGATTTGCGAAAATCATGCATATCAATAGCACGAATGGTATCGTTGTAGAGAGGGTCTGAGAAGAAAAAGGCAACATTAGCTTCATAGGAAAAAAATCGATCTGTTCGTCTGAATATTTAGTACCTTTGTAGAATAAACGTTATGAAGTTCTCATCGATTTCTTTCAAACATTTTGCATCGCAACATCGAATAACGTTACAACATGTTGTAATTGACTACTAATGTCTGCTCTTGGCGTGCTACATGCGAAAGAGAGAAAAGAAAAGAAAAGAAAAATAACGAAATTGAAAGTGTTTGTTTTTTTCGCTTCTTACTCGACATGCCTACTGGAAAGTGTGCCAATCCGAATGTTGATAGTCCAGTTAAGTTAGCTGTTTATATGTTTTTCATTGGCTTATTCTCTTTCTCGTTCGGATTACACATTTATTATGATGAAAATTCGAAAAAACTTTATTATGAAGAAAGTAATTGCCGTGTATTAACGATTGGTTATGAAAATGAGACATGCTCGTCACATCGCTCTAGATATGAGTGCTATAGAACCATATGGCAAGTGCAACACATACAAATAGCAACGATCAACACCATCATCAATGGTACAACATACCGGTCTCCTGAGAAAGCTATAACAGAAACAGACGAATATAAGGTAAGTACAACATTAACTGATGGAAACTGGTCTTCTACATAATTAACCATATGTAAAGATAGGCAGTGAAATGGATTTAATTTGTAAGATGGACGAAAAATGTCGGTTTCTCTCAAGTAACTCACTATGTAAAGAGGAATGCATGCGAATACAAATATCTATATGATTTGAGAGAATAGTATCCCGATTCTATTTTTACATGAACGGATTGAGTTACATAGGACATGTTGAATTTGATTGACACTATTTCTACTGTCAAGAACATAAACACTGCTTAATACTTTCGAAAGATGGATCTTCCGAAGAGGACAAAATTGATTAATTCAGCATACGCTAATCGAATTCTACGCATTATTAGAAATGACGAGGAAGGACTGGTAATAGAATGAACACAAGAGGTTTTTGTATATTTATAACATCGAAGAATCACTGATGGTTCGTGTTTTAGGTCAACACTACACATTCATGCTGGTATGATACACGTCAGCCGCGTATAGTTCAATGGAACAAACCAAGTACTGAATTCGCTCGGGGAACTATAATCTTTGGTGCTGTATTCTTTGCACTTTGTTTATTCTTCACGTTTCTTGCTATTTATCGGTATAGGAAACTGAGTGAAGATAATAATGTGCCTGGATCTCTCTAATGTTGAACATTGTAACATTGAATGCTTGTCGTATCATATCAGCGTACTTGTTTTCACCTAGGTCCCAAAAACTGTAGCATTCAATAAATAAAGATTGATTCATTTGATCAAAATTCGTTTGCAATCTAATGAATCCATTATATAAAATTAAAAACCAATTGTTTATTTTAGACATGTCTCTATTTTGCTTTGTTCATAATAATTCTAAGATACTTGACTGTCGAATGCATTTCTATCTAGCAAGTTTTAAGTTTTTTTGGTTGTTTCACATAGTTTTCACATCATGTGAAAAGTTGATTAAAATCAATAGTTAAATAGCAGATTTTATCTCGAACATTACTGTTGATGAGGATAGTTGGAGATAGAGAGAACCTTACTGTCTTCATTCACTCACAATTTCATAGAACTCATCGAGGGCGTAAGCTTTTGTGGA